AGGATAGGGAGATACCTCTTATCATAGGGAGACCGTTTTTAGCCACGTCGAAGATGCTAATTCATTGTGCTAGTGGTGATCTTAAAATGACTGTTCATGATCAAACAATGAAATTCAATATTTTTAGTGCTAATAAAAATCCATGTGATAATAATGATTGTTTTGCTATTGAGCTTATGGATTTTGCATCTCATGAAAAATTTGATGTTTTGAACTTGGATGATGGGAAAGCATCGTTGCGTGCAGGAGATGATGGCGGAAACGGAAATCGGAAGGAGCAAGTTTACTTCGTGGACTCAATTTCAACTCTTCCGAGAGAAAGTTATAAGACTTGGGGACTTAACGATGATGAGAGTGCAAGGAAGATGTTGCCACCCAAAGAATCGAGCAAGATATGAGAGAATGATGAGTCAAGATATTGGGGTCGTAAGGATAAAATCAAAAAGGAATTGCACAAAGGACAAGTGGTGTTATTGTGCAAATCTCGTCTGTAGTTATCGTCCAAGAAATTCTTCCTCACGAGGTAGTCAAGATAAAGGAGCGAGATTCTAATCATACGTTCAACGTGAAGCGGAGCCGACTCAAACTGTATTGGGAAGCGAGTGAAGATTGCCAAGTGACCTCGGTCACTTTTGCTTGAAAATAACGAAGCAACGTCCGGATGAAGAATTTAAACTTAGCGCTTCTCGGGAGGCAACCCGAGCTTTATTATTTTTCGTTGTTTTCTTTACATTTTTGTTTCTTTTTTATTTTCATAGACATACATTCTAATTAATTTATTTGAATTTTAATTTTCAAGATCGAAAACATGGTCAGGGGGTCCAGACGGCTGTCCGAAATTGCAAGCAAAATCCCAGACGGCCGTCTGGGAAATAGAAGGCCACAATCTGCAGCTTTGCCTGTGGGATGGCCGTCCGAAAAATAGGTGTAAATGTGGGACGGTCGTCCCACGACAAGTAAGGAGAAAACAATGTCGGACGGCCGTCCGAAATTTAGTACAAAAACCGGGACGGCCGTCCGAACCTTGCTGAGCGTTTTAAATTAGAAAAAATAAGATTTTCTGCCCCATTATTTCCTAAACCTTCCTCTTTCCTCCTCTCAAACTCCCACACACAAATTTTTGAATTTTTTCGAATTTATCTTCCAAAATTCACAATTCGCGGCTTCGCAATTCAAAGAAGCAACCCATGACGAGCCACAAGCCTTGGCCGAAATTACAGCCGCTCCTCAAGCCCGAAACAATCTCGATGCCTCAAGCTCCAATGCCGATTGATGATTCCAAAAGAAGATGGAGCGAGAGATGATACTTACGAGGAACCGGTTGACTACCGTCGAGCATAAAGTCAACACGGTGCCAACACTTGGGATGCGGGACACCCGATTGTATCGAGCCGACACCTTTACCGGCACCCATTCTTGGGCCTGTACCCGAGCTTTCCGATGATGAGGAGCGTGAGGGAGCTAGGGAGGAGCACCCCGATAAAATCAAATCCGACTAAATCAGGTGTTTTCTATCCTTAAACTTTGTGCTAATTTCGTTGAGGGCAACACAAATATTAAGTGTGTGGGTGAAAAACATGTTTTTGTGCTTATTTGTTTCAGTTTGCATGCATTACGTTTTATTTGTTTTTATTGCTTTTATCGTTTTTTCCGAAATATAAAAAAAAAATTCTTGAGTTGAATGCATCGATGATTTATTATGATGAGAGATGATCAATGTTTGATGATGATATTGCTTGTTTTGTTTGATAAGGATTAGATGTTTGGTTAGCTTTCGATTCAACGGAACTTAGAAGCGAATCATTGCTATGAATCACACTTTGTGCATTGCTTTGGTTGAATGTTTTGTAATTTAAATTTGGACTTAATTTGTGCTAGATCATGCTATGTTCGGTTTTAGAACTCACCTTAGGAAATTTATGATACGAAGTGTTGACTGGTGAGTGATTTGGGATATGATTTGGGCCTTCTTTGAACCGTTTGAGCTTTTCAAGCCGACTTTTTTTATTGAAATTATCCTTAGAATCTTGATTTGAGCCTCGGAGAAAAGGTGTTCTTTCTTTTAGCCAACGTGTATAAGGTAGAATAGGTAGAGATTCTTGAAAAATTACCCCTTGGAGTTTGGTCGAAAATATTTATAAGGTCCTTCTTCTTCGTAAAAAAAAAGAAAAAGAAAGAAGAAGAGACTAGAAGGGAGAAGAAAAGGCTAGTTGTTAAAATTATTTTTGAAAGCTCGATCCATTGCCTCAAAAGCAAAAGTGGAGACTTTTGAACTTTTGAGAATCGAGTTTATTAAAGTCCTTAGAGGTGAATTCATTGTTTAAGACGCCTATCTTTCAAATTTTGGCGTAATCACCTCAATTCAAGAATAATAGCCACATATACCCATATTTCCTATCTCGAACCAAAGAGCCTAACAATTGAAAGCCACAAAGCCCCAATGATCCCAATAGCTTAATGCTCGAAATTAGTAGATTAGAATAATTTGGTGTGTATTTGGCGTCAAACATATGCATGTAAGTATAAATTCTTTCTATCTTAAATTTGCAAATATTGGATGCTTGAAGCAATTGTATTTTTTGTGTTTTTTGGTAATGGTGAGTGACTAAGTGCTGTTGAATTTTGAGCTTGCGAATGCCGAAGAATTATCATTATAATTACAAGTTCTGAAAACGTGAAGTTGATCATTGATCTATGTAATGAGATGTAGTAGTTGAGTTAGTTGTTTATTGATAGATTTTGCTTGAGGGCAAGCAAAAGTTCAAGTTTGGGGGTGTGTTAAGTGTATATTTTTACACTTTATCGTACCTTTTTATTTGAGCTTTTGGTGTGTTTTAACGATAATTGGTGCTTAAAAAGTTGATTTAATGTATTTTAGGTACAAATTGAAGAATTGGAAAAGTATGGGGTAAAAACTGCAATTTTGGAGCAAATTTGGGCCAAAAGTGAAAAAGTAAAAAATCTGAAGATTTAAAGCCCGGACGGCCGTCCGAGTTTTAGTTCAAAATATGGGACGGCCGTCCGAGACCACGAGGAAGCGCAGTAAAGGGATTTTAATTGCACAAGGAAACTGCCTTCTTCCCCAAGTTTTTCACCCTATGTAAGACCAAGCCAAGCACACAATTGGGGATCGATCTTTACGCAATTTCAAGAGCAACAAATCAATAACGAAGACGAAGAATTCGAAGACTCCAAGCAAAGATTTATCGTTTATTATTTATTTTATTTGCGTTTTTACTTTAATCATGAGTAGCTAATTTTCTTATTTCTAAGATTTTATTTTGAACCCTATGTGGGATTTATGAACCCTTTTCTATGATTTTATGGAAGTTTTAATTCCGGATTATTTCTTCTACTTGTTTTATTAAGTTCATGAAACTGGCCACTATATGCGCTTTTATGTTATTGTTAATCGCATGAATCGGAAGATCGGGTTAATATTTAGAACTGTGGTAGAAGAGCCTCTGTGGTATTAACATAGGAATATAGTTAATCTCTTAGGTATCCATTATTGAGATTTGTGTTTACTGCTATGTTCTAGAATTAATTGCGTAGGAATACAATAATTGAATCTAGGGTATTAGAATCGTAATATATGCGGAAGCGGGTTATTATTAATTTAGCATCTCAGGTTAATACTTCGGGTTAACTACTTGCAAACTTGAAGGAACTGGGGGAATAATAATCACATAGGGGGAAGAATAAAATCCTAGGCTTGCTTACCTTGATTAAATCTTCGTTTTAAATTGCTTTCTTGTTTTTGCTTGCCTTTTAATTTAGTTTGATTTAGTTAATCCTATCTAAAGTCGACAGTGTAGGGTGGGCTTGATAATAATTGATAGAATTTAGCGCCTAGGATTAAGTAATTAAATATTCCTTGTAGGTTTGATAACCGGACTTAATTGTCCACTATATTACTTGTACGATACCTGCACTTGCGTGTCGGTATTACAACCAACATATACGTGTCAAGGAAGCTGAGGAGCGCGCATCCGGAGGTTGGGTTGATGAGTTGGTTGATCTAGGCAAAGGAAATGGGTCCTTCAGACAAGCTATGTTGAGGTCGGTGAAATACACGCACAGCCTCCACTTGCCCCCGGGCTTGGGAACAAGTACTACGTTTAACAACCATTCAGGATACTGAAATGGTCGTATATGACTTTCCTGTCAAAGTTTTGCAGCTTCCGCCTTGATGTGTTTGTTGCGTTCGGGACCAAATGTCCGCTTCCTTTGTTTGACCGGCTTCAACCTTTTGTGGACGTTGAGCCGATGTAGAGCCACCTGAGAGGGGATGCCCGACAAATCTTGGGCTTTCCAAGCGAACAGGTCTCCATTGTGTCGCAGCAAGTTGATTACTTGATGTTCCATCTTTGGATCTAAATCTGATCCGATGCGTAGGAGCTTGGAATCATCTCTAAGTGTGAGCTTTAAGAGCTTACGCTCTTCGACAGCCGCTAGCTTGATGCTGTCATCCGGTACACTGATGTGGATTTCTCTATCGGCCTCGATGATCGCGTTGACCCATTTCCGTTTGTCCGGTTTTGGATGTCGTCTCCCCTTCCGGACGGCTTGGGCTTCTTGGATGGTTCATGTAGGGCTCTCGCGTTGCATTCTCGCGCGAGTTTTCTATCCCCAAGTACCTCTCCCATCACACAGGGAGTAGGAAACTTGAATTTTTGGTGAAAGGAGGACGGAACTCCCTCCAAAGCGTGTATAGTAGGTCTTCCCAAGATGATATTATATGGAGATGGTGTATTAACTATTAGGAATTTCACCATCTTCATCACTCGGCATGGACTATCTCCGAGTGATATGGGAAGTTCTACTTCACTATTTGAGTATACATCTTCTCATGTGAATCCTTTCAGTGGAGTACTCAAGGGGCAGAATCTGCCGTTGTCAATCCCCAGCTGCGTGAACGCGTGAGTATACATGATGTCGGCCGAGCTAGCGGCCGTCGAAGAGCTTAAAAGTATCTTCTTGACTAAAAAGTTGGCCACTTAGGCCGTGATCACTAGAGCGTCTGTGTAAGCATCAATTCGACCCTCTAAGTCTGAGGAATTGAAGACAATGTTAGTGTCTCGTCTTCTGATCTGATATATCGAGGCGGAGGAAGATGCATGTTCTTGACTCATGCGTGCCGACTTAGCAAGGTTGCGCCTTGAATTGTGTGAGTCACCGATTGTTGGTCCTCCCAAAATAAATGCAATGACCCCTCGATTGGTTTGAGTGTCATTGTTGTCTGGGTCGTGTCGAGGACCGCCATCATCTCGTCTCTGTTGTTGATCTCGATGGTTATCTCGAAGTGGGGGGTCATCTCGCCGTTTGCCTTTGGACTTGTCGATGTATGCACCCAAGTGTCCTTGTTTGATTAGGCGATCAATGGCTATTTTAAGTTGCGCGCATTCTTCAGTGTTGTGTCCTTTGTCCTTATGAAAGCGATAGTACCGATCGAATTTCTCTTGTTTGGCGTTGGGGTGCATGGAGCGTGGAAGCTCCGCCAAACCTTTTTGTTCTGTAACGTCGAGGATTTTAGTGAGGCGAGTGTTAAGCTGAGTGAATCGATTGTAGGAGGGAGATGGTTGGCCTTGAGGTGGGGGTGGTGGACGTCGATCATCCCGTCTCCTAACGTCTTGTCGGTCATCTTCCCTCTTCCTCTTGGGAGGAGCATGGGAAGGGGCTTCCTCTATTCGTACGTATTTCTCAGCTCGATTCAACAATTCATCTTGGTTGTTCGGAGGCCTTCCGGCAATAGATTCTTTGAACCTACCCGACTTCAAGTTTTGTTGCATGATCCCTGAGAGCATGTCTTGTCCTACGCTTGGAACTTCGTGGACAACTTCCACAAAATGCTTCATGTAGTTGCGGAGTGTTTCGTTGTCTCTCTGTATGATAGAGAAGAGGTGTGCTGGGGTTTTTGCATATTGTTTGTTGATGGCGAATTGGTTGGTGAAGCGTTGCGATAATTGAGAGAAGGTGTTGATTGATCCTGTAGGTAAAGAGTTGAACCAATTGATGGCCCGCTTGGAGAGAGTGGCCCGCTTGGAGAGAGTTGAGCCGTACAAATCTGCCATGGCATGGAATTTCTCTATGTGTTCTTGTGGGTCGGTGGTTCCTTCGAACTGTGGAAAAACTGAGATTTTCACTCCTTGAGGTAATACCTCGTTGAGGATGTCCATGGTGAAAGGACTGCCTCTTGCTGGGGCAGGCATTCTTCCACAATTGGATTGTTCAGTTGGGGGAAGGAGATTTGGCGAAATATTCTATTGTTTACCTCGCCTTCTCCTTCATTAAAGACAGGGACTCTCCGTGGAGACGCGTTACCCCGTTGGGGTGAGCGTTGACGTTGCTGTCTGGGTTGTGCTCCCCTGTGATTGGTGGATAGTTGCGCCCGGGACCGTGGGTACGGGGTGAATGAGGACACACTTATTCGGTTCTGGACTAGCTGTGGTGCCATGGGCGGCAACGTGGGTGGAGCAGGTACAGGTATCGCGTTGGGAGCATTTGCTCCCATCGTGGCGATGTATTGGGTCACAGCCTCCGTGGCGGCGCGAGTTGAAGCTTCTACTATCATACGTTTGAGCGCATACTCGGTTATTTGAGCCGTTCGGGGAGCAGGGAATGGCGGATCGGCGACGGGTGGATTCCGAGGGGGATTGACTTGGACATCGCGAGAGGGATCCGGAGCACGGGGAGAAGGTGGGAAGCCAGAGCCTCCGCGGATCGGGAAGTTGTTAGCTGTGTCATTCTCTCTCCGAGCGGATGACTCAGGGGGGATATTGCTGGCTATGTGATCTGTTTGCATTCCCAAATACGGCGCCAAAATGATGATGCTAAACCTGGGATAGTGTGGTAAACGAGTTGAGAGAGCAAAGCGGATTTGTAGCTCGCCAATTAGATGGTCCTGAGGTCCCTGCGAGATAAACACACGTGAACTAAGCCGGGGGTTGATCCGGCGGAAACCCCTCCGACGCTCAAGTCAGATGTACGGATCATGGAGATGGTAGAGAGAATATGTTCTCTAGAATTCTTGTGAATAATAGAACATACCTTAAGAAATGAGTAAAAACCTCTATTTATATGTCGTTATTAGGTTTGGGTTTACTTTGTTGGGCCCAAACCTTATTTTGAAGGTGTTTGGGCCTTCGTGTAGCAGACCCAATTATTAGAAAAATTGGGGGCCCATTAGGTCGGCCCAATTATGTATATGTCTCTCTCACACACACACAATATATATATATATATATATATATATATATATATATATATATATATATATATATATATATATATATATATATATATATATATATCCTCATGTATGGATAATTACAACCACCCCCTCAACTACGTACTTTCTTACGCGTCCTTCCTTGCGGTGTCAGATTCAAACATAATCTTCTAAATACCGGAGAATGTTCTCTAGTTTGTACTCGTTTTGTGCAAAAATACAGTTTTTAATGCACCAAAATCTAATATTTATAAGACAAGAGACATATCTTATGAAAACCCTGTTTCAAAATGTGTCAATGAAGAAATGTATCCTTGCGTGAAGTAAATTAAAGGTTCTTCTAGCCCATCCAATATATCTCATTCGTGGTTATCATTTGGAAGTATATAGTGTATATCGTTTTCCTCCACATATCGTCCCGTATTATACTGATATTAAACATATTTTAGCTATAATTTTAGCAATTAACCTATTTTGACTCGTAACCCTGTTGTGACCATAATTTTGATCCTCAACATCGTTGACCGTCGGTTTTCGGCATTGATTTTTTTTTCCTGAAATTTTTTTCCCTCCACCGCCGATCTATGGCGTTAGACTTTTTCTTTTTAATTTTCTTTTTCTAAAATTTGTTCTTCCCCAGCATCGTTGCCCGACGATGAGCGGCGCTTACCTGAGCCGACTTTGATTTTATATTTTTTGAAAAAAAAAACTATGATAATTATTTTCCGGTCATGCGTTGATTTTTGTTTTTCTGGCTTTCTCTTTTTTGCCCAAAAAAAGTGTACTTTTATTGCATTAAGGCACAAAGGGGCCTCGTTAAAAACCTTGTCGGCCTAAAACAATGTTTACGAAAATTACAAAGTCCTAGACTATCAGATAAAATGACATGTCTAACCCTACAAGGAGTATCTCTACTAACGCAATATTCTAATCTACTTTTGTGCATGTGAACCAATTTGGCTAAACCATCCGTCGCTTGATTTCCTTCTCGGTATGTTTGCTCCACTCGTCCATGTGTGCACTGGGTTACCTTCGAAATCTAGTAATATTATTATTAACGCAATAATACTAGTGTGTTAACAGTAATATTACTCTGTTGGATTGTGATATTACTTTCTCATACAGTAGTATTATTGTTAACTCAATACTATGTTAATATTAATATTATTATTTTGGCCCAAAATTTGTCTCCGACAATAATATTGTTGATAATACAGTACTATTATTGTCTTGGCCTGTAATATTACTGTCTAAGACATTAATATTGATTTTAACACAATAATATTGTTGTGTTGATACTATTCTATGAAACAATCATATTGTGTTGGTTGTTAAAAAAAAAAAAAGAGTAATAATTACTGGACAAAGTAATATTATTGTCAACACGGTAAGAAAGAATTCCAAAAAAAAAATAAAAAAAAATGTGCGCATGTCGGTGGGCTGAAAAAAAAATCAAAGAAAAACATTTTCTAAAAAAATCAATATATTGGTAATTATATTGGTATAAGTATTGGTATTGGTATTGATATTGGTATTGATATTGATTTTAGTATTAGTACATTAACATATTTATTAGTATTGACATTAGTGTATTAATTACAGTATTAACATATTATTATTAGTAGTAGTAGTATTGGGTCAAGTTTGGTAGCCAAGATAAGATAGTTCTCCCTATAAAATAATGGACCTATTATTTTATAACCTATTTATTATCAAATTTTTAATTTCGTATGATGATTGGTTTCATTAACATCAAGCCAATTACTTATAAATGACCAAATTACCCTTCTTATTTATTGTACATAGCTTTTTTCTTTGTCTTTTTAATATTTTTTTTATTTTTTTAATTTTTTTTAATATTTTCGAAAAATATATATATACTTTTACTTTTCGACTATTTATTATTTTGAAAAAATATACTATTTTTTTTTTAATTTTACTATTTTCGAAAACAAAATCCGAAAACAAATATTTTTTTTAAAATTATTTTTTGGGCAAATTGCACTTCGCCCTCTCAAAAGAATCCTTTTTGCACTTTCCCCCTTCAAAATACAAAAACGAGATTGTCCTCCTTCGAAGTGTACACTCGTTGCACTTTGTCCCAAATGTGTATTTCGATCTAATTCTTGTTGCATTTTAGTAAATTGGAAGGGTAATTTCATCTTTTAAGGTGTTGAATGCCATTTAACATTCTTGCACCCCATGTTATGATGATTATGAAGAATAAAGAACAAATTTTGTCGAATTTGGGATATAGTTTCATCTAATTCGAAAGTGAATTTCATCAAATTGGGAAGAAATTTTGTTAATTTAGGAACCCTAGCTAAGTAACTCTGAAATGATGATTTCAAGGAGAAAAGGTAAAATGACATATCCACATTTAATTCGGCGAGACTTGGATGGGAAAAACACAGTTGGGGCAAAGTGCACCGAGTTGTATATTTCGAAGGGGGGCAATCTCATATTTTCATTTTGAAGGGGAAAGTGCAAAAAAGGATTCTTTTGATGGGGCGAAGTGCAATTTGCCCTTATTTTCTTTATATTTTTTGTTTTTTTTTTTTCCAGAAAAATATTATTTTCAAACAATATGTTTTTTTTTCGAAAAAAAAATAATATTCGTTTTATTTTTTCTACTTTTTTTGTCTTTTTTATTTTTGATTTTTTGTTTTATTTTTTTAGGGAAAATTGCACTTCACCTCCTCAAAAGAATTTTTTTTCACTTTCCCCTCTCAAAAAAAAAAAAAAAAACCGTGACTGCCCTCTTTGTAATATACAACTCGGTATTTTTTGTCCCCAATGTGTATTTGCGGTCTAATTCTTCCCGGATTTAAATAAACTGGAAGGATAATTTCATCTTTTAAGGCTTTAAATGTCATTTAACGTTTTTGTACCCCATCTTACTGATGGGGCCCATTTTGGCAGGCTCGGGTTGCGCCCAAGGAGGTGGGCTAGAGGAGGAAACGTGAGTTGGGCTTGAGGAGTTTGTACAAATTGGTGGCCCAAATGCGGCCTTATGATGGGCTTGGGAGCTCGCCTCAATTAAAGAAGCCGTGCGACAAGGTGCAAAGTTCATAGGAAATTAAGAATACAAGAAGAAGAATGAAAGAAGAATTGAATTAATTAATATTTTATATAGTATCACAGTTGAAATATCTTCAAATTTTGGAGGAGGAACCCATAAACGCCTGCCTAATCAGGGAAGAACCGATTAACTCCTGATCCTCTGTTGTTTTCTGCTATATTTTAATCGCTCTCTTGTTTTTATATTCCTTGAGGTAGCGTTGATTAATTTTTAATTGATAAAAAACCAATTTCACATAGGTGTCAATCAACTTTAACAATGGCGCAATCAACCCCAATTCATTTTGGACAACTAGAAATTTGCCAGCTAATTGCCGGCAGCGACCACACCGCCGCAAACACTGCCACTGATCCATTCGTTGGCCTTATGGTGGCAAAATTCAATACTGCAAAACTCGACCTTCACTTCAACCAATCGGCCAGACATAAAACTTTAGGAGAAACTACGAGACACCTGGTTTTCGGGAAAAGAACGGGCGAGCTCAAGTTTTCCGACGAAGCTTAGTTCCAAGGGCATTCTTGGGCGGCAGATCCTAATCCTCATATTTCGGTTGAAGTGCTAGCCTGCGTGTTTATGCTAGAAGTTTATATTGCTCACGAAAAAAAAATGGGGCAAGGAAAAGTGGCGAGGATCTAGAAACAAGGAGTAGGATGGGGAGCAAAACGAGAAGATCGGGTAATAAATGGACGTAGCAGGATTCTGAGCCATTACGAGCTAATTTGAAAATGGTTGCAAGAAGAGCACACCTATGCTGCATGAACAAGGATACGCAGATACGGTGATATGCGGATATGGACACGGTGATACGACATTTCCAAAAAACTAGGATACGGACACGCGGGGATACGCGTAAATATAAAAAAATATAGGGGTATATTTATAAATTATAAAAATATAGG